AGCTACCACCGGATTCGTTCAAACTTCTGACTCTTGGACATACGATTTCGATTGGCTAGCGTAACTGTTTGACAAGCTCGTCCCGCAGACCAGAGAGCAGCGAACGGAGCCGACCCTAATCGACTCGCGAAGGCATTCCCACCTACGGGAAATCTATCAGCCCGCTTCTTCCTCCAATCGGTTGTGCCAACATGCGGTGGGATCACGGGATCCGAGCTGCGTGAACAACACCGAGGACAAGACGTCGTATGCGCAAAAGTGGAAACTCCAGAATATTTTCGACGCAACACCCAGAGCTCTTTCTTCCCGTCCATAGAGCCCCATAAATGTATCGACCGTGGAGAGCCCCTCAGTATGAGAATCTGCAGCGAGCCTAATGCACCTGGATACGGTTGCAAAGCCGTTGAGCGAGGAAGCGCAGCCTCGAGGCACCACCGACCATTCTCCCTTCTTTCATATTTCCCCGGTCTTCCATGACGGACACGGAATCGATTGGTGCTGCTCGACGACATCACAAGGGCAGAGAAACGCGAGCGGTCCTCTTCCTCGCAGCTGATTGACCTCAGGGTACGTTTCTAGTTTGAGTCGAGGTCGTAAACTGTCCAAGCGACCTCGAGGTCAGAGCCGCACGAGCTATAATACAAAGCACTCGGCGGGAGCTGGACTTGTTGTTGTCGCTGTCTCACGGTGCACTCGGAAAGCTGCCTAATCCCAGCCGGTAGTGTCCTCTTTTCCTGTCCATGAATGGACATTTATACTCTCAGAAGTGGTGTTCTCTATTCTTCTGAAGATAAGACGATGAATGGATACGGCCTGGAGAACACGCAAAAGCACTCTAACAACGAGCAACCTGAGAAACAACAGTGCGCTGCGCCGGAAGAATTTTTCCTGCAGTGTTGGCGAGCATCCGGTGTGCGCCTGATCGCAGGCCCGACGCTGCTGCCTGAGAGGCAAGAGTCCTCGTGGAGTGAAACTTCATTTTTTCCTTGTTACCCCGACCTCCGGAGGAGACGGTCAAGTCGGATTGGATACATCTCATCCGGACCGCACAGTGTCCCCCAGCCGTCCTCAGTATATTCGCGGAATGATTCCGCGGAGAGTATAATACGAGTTTTTTATGCAGACTGTTTTTATCCGAAAAGAGCTCGGGTCAACGCGTGATCGAGCAACGCCTCATGCATCATGCGCCGCCTGCAGCAATCGGTTCCCGGAGCGGAGAGGAACCGATAGTGTTGTCGAATCTTCAGAGAGCCTTCGTTAGCACGTTGATTCCACTGCCCTCCCAGCACAGTCCTATTCCTATCACTCAAACACATGTTTTTCTGGGGGAACTATTCGCCTTATGGATGAGCGAAATTTCCCCCTGAGGCCAGACCAGCCATCAGCCGAGTCTCTGAGCCATTAGTGGGGTCATTGGTCAGACATAATGGATAGTTACACCGTCAGAAGACAAAGCGTGGCTGTTCGCTGAGACCGGAGAAGGACTCCACGGTGTCTACGTGTTTGTTCCGCTCACCCATTTATCTCGCAAGAGCTTTTCATGCTCTGAAGAGATTCGGGTTTCACCTGCTCAGAGCAGCGGTGGCTCCGCAGAGCCGCCGGGTAGATCACCGGACAAGATGATACCTGAATGGAGTAACTTCTGCTGCTGAGCTCGATCTCCTCCCAGGAATCGGTGCCAATCGTTCCAGTCGTGCTCTGCGGATGCCTGATGAGCGCAGCGATATTTGGATCAATCGTCGTACTATCGATTACGGGTGAGCCATTGCAAGCGTGAACAAGCGCTTCGCTCAATTTTCTTCCGAGTGACTACACGAGGATCTCGAATGATCCCGTTCGGCTCGCTGACGAGTAGAGATTATCGTATGAGGAGTTCAGCGATCCAGGAGCTCTCGATCCTGGCAACAAAGTAAGAGCAGGTTGGGGGGGGGGGAAGATTAGTCTCGTTACTGTGTGACGGCCGCAGTCGCAGCCGAGTCAAATCAACCTCCGGGACATGGTTAGTGAATAAGTGCTGCCCATGCATACTCTTTCTGTTAGAAAGTATCCGGTGCCGTTTATGCTCGTGCAGACGTCGGGTGAATACCCTTGCGAGCATATGGCCTCTTGTCGCGTGTGCAATCAAATTCACGTTGATCTACAGTTGAGCGAACGCTCCGTATGGCGTTTTCAATTTGGCTACTATATCCAACGGTTCAGAGCTACCATCACAATGATACAATTTCTGTGAGTCATGAAGGCGGATCTGATGGTGACATCTCCGGAGCACTGCGTTGCGAACAATCGAAATTGGACAAGCGCGCCAGGGACCAGTCCCCCGCCCCCTTCGGATCTTCAGGAACAGCTGTCCGCTCCCCGTGAACACTATTATTTAATTGGATGGCTCCCAGACTCAACAAGTTCGCGGGACGCATGGCCTCCGCTCCGACCTACTGAAGCAGGCGCTCCCGCAGAGGGGGGGCTAGGGGGCTATAGCCCCCTCCCAGATTGAGAGTTCGTAATGCTAAGATATAGGAGCGGGTCGCCATATTGGAAATCAGCCCCATGCGAGGACCCGATCTAGCCCCCCCCCCTAGAAGAATCCTGTGGACGCCGCTGTACTGAAGTATGCGACATGCGCGCTCAACACTCGGACTTCTGGGTCTCGCCGGGGAGAGAAGAGACTGTGCCGTTCCCGTCGCCTCGATCCCCGATGCGGGACAAGGTGTTCTCGGAGGACGAAAGCATCCGACCAACCTTCAGCTTGATTCACAAACCTCGATGACAGAAAGCTCGAGTCGGGTACCTTTCCCAAGTTCCTCCAAGATTCTTCCCGAGGAATCGCTCGAGCCTATCGATAACTCCCACCTATCCGTAGACTTGGAAAGAAGAAACCGTTTCGCAAATCAGATTTTGAGCTCGGGTGCCTCTCTCGCTCGGCTGCGGCTGCTGCTACTGCTGCCACTACCGGAACGATCGGCCGATCGGCTCCGTCTCTCGACGGCGGAGATTGTTTCTCCAATATTCGGTTCTTTTCCAACATTGCTGTGACTTTGGTCTAATTAGTATTGATTCTCCGCTTGAGCGGAAAGCGGCAGATATCCTCGGACGTGGGTTAAGAGAGTATCTTCAAGCGGACGAATTCGGTGATCCAGTTTACCACGCGACCACACGCTCCGACTTCCGCCCGTTTTCACGTCTATGCGTAGAATGAGTCTTGCGATTCCCGTCCCCGCGATGAGGAAGCTTACGCTACGGCGTGGTCCGAAGCCGAATCCTGAAAGAGGTAGGGTCTCGAGACCACGGAGATCGAAAGTCATCTCGATCGAAGTATAATCGTCTTATACTGCACCCTCGAGCCCGTTTTCCCACGGAAGAAGGACAACGATGCGATGTCTCGAGCGCTCTGGCTATGCCGGTAGAAATCTCGTTGTCATCGGCTTCCGCCCGGATAGAATACTCTGTAAGAATATTATTCCCCGCCCCTAGAAGTCTACTTTCGAGCCTGAGAGGACAAACTCTGCTTCCTCAGAAATGTTCCCAAGCTCCTGGGAATTCGTATGTTCCCTCCGGCTCCCGACCTGGGGCACGAGCGGCGATGAAGACCCCATGGGAAAACAGTTTCCTTGTGCGAAAACTAAATTTGCCTATGGTGGAGCTCAGAGTTCCCGTTCGCACGGAGTCCTGCTCCTGGATTCATATGTAGCTCAGTCAGAGTGTTATGAGCTCATAAAATTTTCGGCCCCAGAGAAAGAGATGCGCAATTTCCCGATCGAAGTTTCGTAAAGCAGCGTTTCTCAAACTAGGGAGACGTTCAGGGTTCCGAGAATTCCCGACCGACCTGATTTCACGTTTCTGAAAGCTCACCAAGCCCATTGCCCCTTTACTCCAAGCTTATTATCATTGTACAATTAAAGGCTGAAGCAGTACGTACGGATAAAAGGGCACTGTGGCATGTCTCGGTCGAAACTCTATATTCTCAGATATTCGATGACCCTCGGGAGAGACGCGAGCGCTCCCCAAGAGGCAGAAGGGAGACGAAGGAGAAAAAAGTTTGAGAATCGCTGCCGTAGAGGACTTTATGGTGTACTACTGGTTGTTCCAAGATTCCGCATTCCACGCGAAAGCAATCATACCTGCGGAAGTACGCAGCAAAACAATGTTCCTTCTGGGTGGCAAGCCGCAAGCCGTTCGCTAGATCTTGACACACGACACCAGTCATGACTGCAAACGTGCGGGGCTCCAATTCGGATCCCTCCCGTTTGGGAGAAAAGAAGTTACCCCGAGGGAGAGGCGGATAACCTGCCAGGGTTGTCTGGGCTAAAATGAACGCGCTCATGGATGCACTTCTCTGCTGCTATTCGACCCAGACCGCCCGCGCGGCCTCCGAGCAGACGACGATGAGAAGGAAGAAGCTAAACAAAAACATCTTTCGACCGAGTTGCGCGATCTTCCGATAGTTTTCATCACGAAAGAAGAAAATGTCCAGGGCTCAGCTCTTTGTGTCGAATCTATCGTGGACGGTGGGGAACTCCGAGCTCCGCAAATTCTTCTCGAAGGTGAGTTCACCCCCCTCCCTTGTCGCGAACAGATCCCAGGAAATGTCAAGCCGAATGTTTGGAGACCACGTTCTCCGGTCGAAGCAGCGAGACAGATTCGCCAAAGCAGTGAATTCTCATTCCAGTACGGTCGCGTTGTCCAGGCGAATGTTCAGTTCTGCAAAAAAACGGGCGTTCAGCAAGGTTACGGATTCGTTCGTTTCACTCGCGACAGCCACGCCGAAGCGGCATTGAGAGATGGAAACGCGGTTCTTGAGGGTAGGAGGCTTTTCGTCAATTACTCAACCGGATCCCGAAAAACGGGACGTTTTACCCATCCACCCGATGATGAGGAATAAAGAATATGATCGTCAGTGCGAATTTCTATAGGGCTTTACTTTCGAGTGTTTTCATTCCGTTGCGAGTATCCCAGCCCCTCCCCGATTGACTCAACTTCTCGGTGATATGGAGAGCGTTGCGTGTATCAGGATTTTATTGCCTCGATAGATACGAACCATTGAATATATGCAAATATATTATCAGGTCATGATTGAAATTCAGCCTCGACTTCGAACCTATCGACCTCTATCGATAAATTCGCGCTCCTTCTTTGGTTACTGTGACCGGGTAAGATGACGATCCGGGAACGTCCAACTTTGAAAGCGTAGGGACTGAAATCCCAGTCCCGGCTCGACAGCAGTGATCGATCGCTCTCAAGAGCCTCAACTTGTCGTCATAATGTACAGTGCATCGCCGAGCCAAATACATCGCTGCAGCGCTTCCGAGCTCTCTCGATCGGGGCGAGAGCGAATCCGCCGAAAGAAGCGACAAACCGTGGTGATGACACCAGGAATGCCAAGGTGCGGCCGGGGGTCACTCGATGTTTACGCGCTGCCAGATCTCTTCAAGTCCTCGTCTATCCACGACCATCAGTGGGAAGACGTTTGCGAACGTTGAGATCCCTGCAAAGATGACGAACGATGGAGGGAATGCGATTCTTGCGCGAGTCCATTCACAAGACGCCCGGACTCCTCGGATGGCCCGACCAATTCTTCCCTATGCTATACCTGCGAGCTCGTTCTGGAATGCGGCTTGTTCTGTATTTGAATCTGTTGCGACGGTGGCGGGGTATTCGGTGCTGGCGCCTCACTCTTCATTTGCATATGATACTTGTACGTATTCTCGGTTGTTTCGACCATACCAGAGGATAGATTAAAACATCGGCCCTGTTGATGAATTTTTAGCGAATAAATTTTTTAGATCTTCGCTGAGATGTTCAAAGCGGAAATCATGGACCCGACTTTCGAAGAAACTTCCGGCTCTGTACCTTAATTCCCGCGCCGTCGTCGCTCGGAGGAGACCACCACGTCAAGAGGCTCCCGACGATAGGAACGTGCTTCAAAAGCCCTTCCTGGTAGATCCTCTCCTCGTTTTCCTTCTCCAGGGCAGCATTCGCTTGCTCTACCGCTTGCCGAACCAGCTCCGACATCTCTTCGAGCTCCTTCGAGCTGTCTTCGATCTCCCGGCCGGCGGCGAGAACCATGTGCACCAATTCCTCGACCAGGAGATCTTCCGAGACCATCCCGAACCGAACGCATAGCAAACCGTCAGTACCCTCGCCTGAAATGAATCACGCGTTTTCACTCTTCAGTTCGAAGGGGAAAGAATCATGATGCCGTCGCTCCGTCGGAAGGAATCATTCGAAAGGAGATTCATCTGTCTCCGATCCGCACTCACCCAGGGAGAAGGCGGAATCGGAGCTACGCAGCTTCGCGACGAGTTGGGAATTTATTTGGTTGATGTAGTCTTTGCCGCTGATGGTCAGCTGACCCAGCTGATCGACCCAGCTTTCAGGGATGTACCGCACTCCGCCGAGCCCGGCCCAATTGTTTATTTCGACTAAACGGATGTTGCGTCCGAACACTTCGTGAGTTCCATCGAGCATTTGGTGGAGCTTTTGTTTTTGGATCACAGTCGCGGCGAGAATCGCCACATGCTCTTCCAGCGTCTTGCAGAAGTTCTCCATGTCGCACATGGTGGTCCCTTGCACTGTGCAAGAAGAACATCTTGACTTAGCGAACTCGAGCCCTCGAATCCGTGCCTTTGAAACAAATACGCTCAAGCTCTCGAAAGGAAGAGACCGTCGCCGTTTCATCTCACCTTGAGCGCTTTCCAGGGGACTGAATTTGACACAGATTCCGTGTCCTTCGACCTCGGTCAATTCGAGCGACACCGTCGGCATCTCTCGGTGAATCATCTGGCCCAGCCAGAGATTCAAGTTATTGATGTAGCTCTCACTCAACCGAAGAGAGGCCGCCTTGCAGTTGTCTGAAGAGCGAACGGGAATGTCTAGGTGAGCTCCGAGCTCATTTCTTGACGGATTTCTGTTCGTCGAGAAGTTCAATAGTTGCGACTGGCTTTCGGAAAATCGAAATCACGCTCACCCGGCTCAGCGGAAATTTGTCGGAATCTGAAGGTCACAACCGAGTGCAATGTTTCGAAAAGAGCTGCGGGCGTCGCAGCTCCCGCGACGTGATCAGCCAATGCAACGACGCCTCCTTCGACACCGGCTACTTTGGAACAGCCGATCACCTCCATGCACGGTCCGAGAGACTGCAAACTCTCGAAGAGTAGCTCCGTCTGAAATTCGGAATCTTGCTCAGCCGAAGTCGGAATTCGAATGCAGAAAATACTGCTTGCCACTAATACTCACCATTTTGAAGCACTGCATGATGCGATCCGATAATCCCTTCTGGCCGAGAGTTTGTAGCAAGGTCCACAGAGGCAAACAGTGTAGTTTCGAGTGGATATTGAACAATGTCAAACCAGACGTATGGGCAAGAGTCGGATTTATCGGTCTGTACAGCGTGACGTAGGACAGGGACGGGACGCCAATCCAATTGCCGATCGGCAGAGTCATCGAGTCTCCACATCGCGCGGACTGCAAAACAACATCCCCTATAGACATGGCGGAGCCGAGCATCATGTTCCGCAAAAGACCCGATGGGGTTCTTACCGCGTTCAAGCCGGATCCGAGAACCAGCGATGCGAGGGAGTGACCTTCGAGATGGAGCCAGATATTTTTCTCTTTACATATTTCCGTAATCTTGTCTATATTGTCGCATTGACCACACTGCGCGGACCCGGCAGAGGCGAGCACGATGAGAGGGACGCAACCTTTGTTCAGATCTTGTTCTACTTGCTTCTCTAAAAGGGACACGTTCTGCGAAGGAAATTATTTCCGGTCAGAAACCTCGGTACCCACAACGCCCATATTCCGAACTCGAATCCGTCAGCTCGATAGATCGAAGAGAACTTCACCATCTTCTGATAAGAGCCACTGTTGTTATGGGTGGGAATGATTCGAAGACACGCTCTCGGTAGACCTAATGCAGAACACAGTGCGTGCCCGATTGAAGGTCTTCCAGATGGTGTTTCTTGTTCCATGGCTTGACTGACGTAGATGCACGGCGGCTTGGAGTACAACGCCTGATACGCCTCCACGGCGTATTTCTCGTATTTCAAATGCAGGAGCATGCGAAGCGTCCGCACGAGCCCTTCGCGAGATTCATCGTGACAGAAAATGCCGCTGTCGAAGAACCTGGAGCGACGAAGGAATAAATGTCAAGGCGACCCTGGAGGTGATATTCCAAGTTATGAGAGCATCCCGTGAGTTCTCCTGGCGGATCAAGAGCCCAGCCGAGTTCCGATCTCCGACACAGCTGTGGCTCTTTAGAAGTTGAAGCTGTACGAACAGCAGTCCGAGCAGCGGACCACGCGCGCTATGACAGCGTAGGCAGAAGAGATCTTTTTTTTTTACCTGAAGGTCCTGGCCAGCCAAAAGCCGGTGTCCGCGACGATGCGAGCGGTCAACTTCCGCAGGGTTGAAATGTCCAGCGTCGATACGTATGCGGCGAGAGCATGAGAGCTGACGATGGCGTTTCCGAGAGGGTCCAGAGGCTTCAGACTGCACTGACCGGCAGCGTATCGGTTCTCGGCGGCCGCTTCCGACATCTTGCACACGACGATATGTTCCAATACTTTGCGTACGTCATCGAATGATTGCGACCTGGGGACGCCAAAGACGTGAGATTGGACATCTACTCGATCGGTCCTCCACACACTTGGAGCGAGCACGATTGCGAGCAAATAATCGACAGAGGGGTACTCACTCGTTATTGAGCATTTGGGGCAGATAACGCTCAATCGGGTCCTCGTTCCGATCAGCTTTGTCATCTTCGTTCTCGTCGGCTTTTCCCGCGTCACGGTTCTCTGAATTCAACACCTGGATCTGATTGATGGTTTTGGCGGAATCCGAAAGCGCCGCTTGTACCGGGAGCGACTGGATCAAGACAAGTCGTTCGATTAGAAACAAATGAATGAATCGTCAAGAGCGTTCCCCATTCTGTTCATCTCTATCGCTTCTCTTTAGATCAAAGATGAAGGCAGGAACCAATGGATCAGAGACCGATGGAACTGATCGCTCTCCGTCTTGGAGATCCTGCCGCTCATCGAGTTGTCAAATATCAGCCGGCCGCGTCGGTGTACGACAGTAAAGGTGGCGCTTGATCGATCAAGAGCAGGGCAGACTATCGGACGTTCCTCCTTGACCGCTCAACATGGATTTTAATTTTGAGGATTCCATTCGGTCGATCCGCCAATGGACCTTCAGCTCAAACAGGCCTCTCATCATCGTACGTATGCATGAGCCTAGTCAATTGTATCCTACGTGGGCGAAGAGTCAGCTGTGAGCGCTTATCGAGGGCCGCCGGAGAGTATTGAAGCTATCGGTCGACTGCCGGTATGCGTCGCTATTCGCATTCACCTGATTCATGGATTGGGATCCAGGATTAGCCTGAGCGTCTTTCTGAGCGCTAGGGGCCTCCTCCATCGAGCTCACTCCGACACTCATATTCTTGGTTGAACTCTAGCTCGTCGAGTGAATCTTTGTTTACCACCACGTAGTTGACAGCCGACGGATGAACGCGTTTTTCGCGAGTTGAATTCTTCGTCTTCACCGCATGACCATATTGGGCTCACATTCGTCGAACGGCTCCGGTGCTGGATACGGGAACGCTTTTCCGCGGTAGTACCCAGCAGGAATCTCGGCACCTGGAAGCAAATTGCGGAGCGCAAACCCGATCGGATCCTGTCAGATTCGAATTTCGGCGCCCTCGGAGAGTTCTCCAACATTCGAAACACAATACCGGCTGCGCACTGTTGCTATTGCTGCCGGTGTGTCGGGGCGGTTCTCCACCGGGGTGTGAGCACTAGAACAAAGCGCAAGTGAGGGATCAGCTCTAGTTCCGAAGAATGCGAGAACGAGAGCCTCCGTCTCAGTGCCGCCGACAGCCGAGTTCTACGGGGCACCCCGAAAACAGGTCCGAACAGCTGATTCTTAGAGTGGCGCTGCTCGAAACAACCCCAAGTCGCGACTCTTGTTGGGGTTACTGTGGTGGTGATCCATGCCCATGAGAAATCAGGTAGTCTGCGGCTTTAGAATCGAGTACGCGTTGATTTTCCCTCGTGAAGCAGAGCGATGACCGCAGCGGAAAACGAGGAAGAATTCCCGGTGGGGTTGGCGTGCGCCCTCGACGGATTCGTGGATGCCGACCATGTGAAAGAGACAATCAGACGTTTGGAGAAGGAGGAGATAAAAGTGGACAGCACGGAATTCGACGGAATCTACGAAAAGTTCAAAAAGGTGATCGACAACTACCATGAGCAGCCTCATCTCATGGACAAGGAGCTGCCTGGCATCATGCGGCAGTGCATCGATATACTCAATTCGAATCCACCAAATAGTGATCGTTTCCGAGGAACGTGTCGTCTCCTGTGTCTGATCACGAGAACCAGAGGCTACAAAGTGGTGCGCAATCTCTTTCCGCATGAGGTGCCAGACATCGAGAAGGTCCTCGGTTACATGCTGGCGCAGGACCTGGACGACTCTGCGAACTGGGAGACGCAGTACATCATTCTCCTCTGGTTGTCGATCTTGGCGACCGTGCCATTCGATCTGTCACGCTTCGATGGCAGTGGTGACGGACAAACGGTGACTGAACGTTTCTTACAAATCTGTAAAACTTTCGTGAGGAGCAGACTTAAGTGCAACGTCATCGCAGCATACATGACCGGTTGCTTCCTCTCGAGACCCGATATCCATGGACGCTACATGAAGCCTTACCTTCTTTGGGTCGAACAAGAGTTGTCCGCGTACCGCGGACCCACCGAAGAATTCGTTCGCGTAGCAATTCTCTTGTCGGCTTGCAGCATTTTCAAGATGAGCAAAAGAGAAGTTCTCCAAGAACACTCCGCCATCGCTTTGGACATCGCCTTGAAAGGTGCTTCGAGCTCGCAGGAGTTCGAGCGGAAACTCGCTCTCAAACTCCTCCAACGCATCGGTCTGTCTCAACTGTCCCCGAACTTGGCGCCTTGGCGATATCTCATGAAGAAAAGAGTTCTTCTGGGGAGGAGCACCGCCAGTTCCGGAGACGTTCAGGACGACACGTGCGACGAGTTGGAGGTCCCAGAAACCATAGAGCAGATCATCGACCCGCTGTCGTCGGGGCTCGGGGACCGCGTGCTCATCGTTCGATGGTCGGCAGCCAAGGGCTTGGCTCGCATCGCGTCGAGACTTCCGAAAAACTTCGCGGTCGAAGTCGTGAATTCCGTGTTCGAAATTTTCGAGGAGAAGGATCGCGAAGCACGGTGGCAAGGAGGCTGCATGGCCTTGGCGGAACTCGGTCGGCGAGGGGTTTTGCTGCCGGTTCATCTTCCCAAGGTCGTGGAGATCCTCGTTCAAGCTTTCGTGTACGACGAGCTACGGGGTAGTTACTCGGTTGGGAGCAGTGTCAGAGACACCGCATGTTATCTCGCCTGGACCCTAGGTCGCTCGTACGAGCCGAAAATAGTTGAGCCCTTCGTTGACGATTTGGCCGGACAGCTGCTGTGCCTCGCTTGTTTCGACAGAGAGGTGAATGTGAGGCGTGCAGCGAGCGCGGCTTTCCAAGAATGCGTCGGTAGATTAGGGAATTTCCCGAACGGGATCGATCTTGTACGCACAGCCGACTACGTTAGCGTGGGGAAGCGAACCCGAGCGTACTTGGACGTCGGAGTTGAAGTCGCTTCCTACAAGGAATACACTCGTCTGCTCATTGAACATCTCGTCTACCGAAAAGTCTCACATTGGGACAAGGCGGTTCGTGATGTCGCGGCTGAAACTCTGGGGCGTCTAGCCTCGAGGCATCCGGCGTTCTTCTCAGACAACGTGTTCAAGGAGCTCCTGGAGTACAGCACATGTATGGATCTTTATATGAGATTGGGCTCGCTTCTGGCCCTGGGGCGAATTGTTCTAGCGCTCAGCGAACAAGGCTCTGCGCTATCGGAGGAAATAGTACAGAGCTTGGTAGGATTGTTCGATGTGTACGAAGAGAAACGCTATTTCTCTTCGTCGATGCACAACCAAATCTTGGGGAACTTCGCTCAGATGATCTCTTGTTTGGCAAAGTCGAAGTTCACCCCGATCCAGACGGAGATTATCGAGAAATGGTGGAGCGTCGGACAACGGTGTCTGGAAAGTCCCGAGAGCTCGATGCAGATTCACGGAGCGGAGTGCATCTCCGCACTCCTGGAGTTCTGCATTCCGACGGACGACCACGATCGATCTAGGAATCTCCTCGAGGTGTGTTGTCAACAGCTTCACTGTGAAAGAGAGGAGGCCAGATGCGGATACGCGCGTTTGATGAGATATCTGGATCCACAACTGGTATCCCGCAATGATTTCCTACTTTTCGAGTCGTTGAGGAGAGCAACCCAAAGTCAAGGCAACGTTTTCGTCGAATCAAGGAGAGAAGCTCTGATTTCCCTCCAAAAAATCGTCTGTACCATCCTCGGAATGTCTCCGAACGCTGGACAATACCTGCGCGATCTACTCGTCTGCATAACGTCGGCTTCCGAAGACTTTAGTTTATCGGAAACATTTTTCGATGTTGGACTCCCCAACCGCTTAGCTGCGATGACAGTTTTCAGAGATTTGATGATCCATCTCAACGTCGTGGATCGATTGTCTATGATCGATCGCGAACTTGTGAACGATATTCTCAAGCGGATCACTAGCCAAATCGCGGATGCTCAGAGAGCCTCGGAGGAGATTGCTGTTTCCGTGTTGAACGATCTCCTGAAAACGTGCCCCTCGGAGCTGCCACACTCGGAACAACTCGTTGCAGCTCTCGCGATGGACGACAAGATCGACACGCTGGCCTTCATTCTCACCTGTGATACTTACAGACTTCCGCTCCTGACGCAACTTCTTATATCTATGGGCGCGAAAACAGAGAAGGAAGCGACTAAGGCACAGCTGGCCACCTTGAAATACCTCCAGGGAATTCAGGAGGATCGCGCTGCGATGACCGACTTCGTTACTACTCTCAGTGCGGTTGTCGAGCTGCCGCTCTTCTCTAAGAACCGATTCCTCTTCCCTCCGTTAGTTCGTGGCATCGGTCATTTGTTGAACACAGGAGCTTTAGCGAACGCTTCCTCGGCAGAACTCGTTCCGATAACCGACTATGTTTGGAGGAATATACAACGCACGAAAGATGTCAATCGAATCCTCTCGTCCATCGAATTGCTCTGTGAAATGCTCCAATTCGAAGAAACAGCTAAAACTAGTTTGAAGAGGCTTTCCATTCTCTTGGGTCACAGGCATTTTCCGCAGGTTCGCATGCAGACAGCTCGGAAACTCTATGAGACCCTCCTAATGTATTCCGCGGTTGTTCCAGAGAAAAACTTCGAAGTTATCTTGACTCTGTTGAGTAATTCAGAATGGGTGAACGACAGCGACTCTGTTTTCGAAGAGATTCGGAGCGCTCGCGATCTGTTCTGCGATCTTGTAGATATCCCCAAACCGATGATCACAAAGGGGTCCAAATAGGCGATTGAGGCGAGATTTCGTCGCGTACCAATGTGATAGTGCTGCCGGGTGTATTCTGAATAAATCGCTTCTTTAACGTACAAGCGTCCTTGCTTTTAATCCCTCTCGGACTCTCCTTCTCCTCGATTCCGATTTAGAGAACTCCACAGGAGAAGGACCGCTGCGCTGAGGCTGCATTCACGAATGCAGAATCGACCAAAATTCCAAGAGATAAAGCTCTTTTATTCGGGCAGAAATCAGGATCCAGATTCGGATTTTCGCACAGGGGCACTCTAGAAAATCGAAATTATACCTAGACGAAATTTTTGAGCTCCGCCGCCCCAGTTAAATAATCTCAAAGGAGGACAGGAGCAATCTCCAAAACTGACTAACAATAAGTCGGATCCCGAAGCGAGTCCACTGACAAAATCATAGACGTCCCACATAACTAGAAAGCAGAATGCACCTTATAATACAAGGAAGACGAAATCGTGGAGCAGTTTTAGGAATGATGATGATGATGTGGTCCGTGAACAGATTTCACTTATTCATTCGTCCATCCACTTCTCAATTTTAGGCTGAATGAACCCCTTTCCTCGCGACATGAAAATATGTGCTCTCGTGGACACTAGGAGCTTGGTGTCGAGGTATCGCTCTGACTGAGGGAGGAATAGTGGCGCAAGCGAACACTCGAAAAAAAATGTGAACATTTGAAGCCGATCGAGCACGCTCTATTCTCTCTCTTCGGTCATCTCGATAGTTGTGGCTCTACATCTAGTTTATATAATCTAGTTTATAGTTTATATAATATATATATATATGATTCGACTAATCACTGCGGTCAGCAAAGGCGTCGTGATTTACGGGCGATACGGGACGACTCGTCCTCGAATCCTTACCGTAATGGAGCATTACGCTTGACGTGTTGTACGCACAGGTAAAAATGGGTAAATCTGAATAATAGATTTTATCACTACCGAGTTTACTGACCTTTGCATAGCAAAGTAAGAATCAAAATACGGAAGAGACTATTCTCTAGTCAAAAACAACAACGCTGAAAATTTCTATGCTCTCCTCAACGGACGATTGGAGCGATTGACTCGATTACTCCTCGCCAACAGAGAAAACAAGCAGCTGAGCGACGATACTCAAGCATATTTTTCTACGTTGTTAGATTATTCCTTTAGTTCCTTTCGACTAGCGTTGAACTTTCCTTCTCCGCCGTGAGGGGGAGCTCGGGAAACTCGACGGAACCCCTTGAATGCCTGACGTGACATCGGAATGATCTCGCCTAATCAAGATTATGGTACATCTCCTCTATCTGAGCGGCGTACCTGGCTCTGGCATACGCTCGCTTGGTTTTGAGCGTTGGGGTGAGGAGCTCGTTCTCGACGGAGAACGGTTCACTCTCCAGGTAGAGGTCCTTCATCTGGAAAACGCGAGGGGTGAGAATTTTATCGCTTGTATCCTACAGATTAGTCGATGTCCAACGTCTGGACGTCTGGTGTCGGAACGGTCGGAACTTACGAGCTCGAAGGACTTCAGATCATTCTTCTTCCCGGTCACGAGCAAGTCATCCAGGATTGACTTTTTGACAACTTTGTTGGCGCAAAGCTCCTCATAGGTTCCCCCGATCCGATTTTGGGAGGCCCACTTCAGCAGATAATCGGGGTCGGGAACGACGACCGCCACAAGACAGGACTTGGAGGAGAGAGAAGATTCCACGATTAGAATTCCCTCCGCAATCCGGTTGAAACCCAAATGGCGGTATGAGGTGCTCGAAGTTTGATCAGCCAACTCCGAATGCTCGAATTCCGGACCCACCTTCAAACTGTCGCCATGAATGAAGATCTGCATGACGAACGGCGACCGTATGAGGATGTTCTCGATCTTCTCCGGAGCGATGTACTCGCCTTGAGCCAACTTGAAAATGTGCTTCAAACGGTCTGTGATTTTCAAGGTTCCGTTTTCCAACCACTTGCCGATGTCCCCCGTATGTAGCCAGCCCTGAGCGTCCAGAGCTTCGTGTGTTCTTTGGGGGTCTTTGAAGTATCCCGCAAATACGGAACTTCCTTTCACGCATACTTCACCTTCGCCATTACAGGCGTAGTAATTCATCTCTGGCACGTCCACTACTTTGATCTCGCAGCATGCAAGCGGAGGCCCGACGTGACTCGCAAGAATGTCTCCGGGGAAAGTGAGCGTACACGGAGCGGTGCATTCAGTTTGGCCATATCCTTCAACGATGATACAACCGAGAGCGCATCTCACTACGTTGAGAACATTCGAAGCCAGAGGAGCCGAGCCAACAACAAACAGTCGGATGCGACCTCCGAATTTCTGCTGCACCTTGTTGAACACGAACCGATCCCAGATTGGGTGGTTGTTGCGAATCAGGAAGCTGTGGGGGAAATTGATGGAGCGATTAGCGCACATGTATCATCGCTGGCATCGAATACTATAATAATTATTATTATTATCATTCAGGTAGCATACGTTCTGCCTTCTCCTCCCCACGGCTCAATTAGGTACTCACTTCTCGACCTCGCTTTGTTTCGATCTTAAGGCTTGATTGAGTATAAAACTCGCTATTTTCGAGCCTTGAGCAGCGGTAATTATGCTGTCGTGTATGCGGTTCAGCAGCCGGGGCACCATAGGGGCTATGGTGGGTTTCAATGCTTGCATGTCTTCCATGAGACCGCGGATGTCTCCCGAGTAGAAACCGACCGCTCCTCCGACCATGTAGACGGCCATTTCACAACATCTCTCGAACATATGCGCCAAGGGCAGGAACGACAGCATGACGTCGTTGCCGTTCGGCGCCCATTCTCCCATTTGGAACATCACAGCGCTGAGGTTCGCAATTATGTTCTTGTGGGTTAGCATAACGCCCTTTGGATTGCCTGTGGTTCCTGATGTGTAACATATTGTTGCAAGCTGTTCCTTGTTCGGGGGAACCGGGTGCTTGAGGTTCTTCTCGCCGATAGACTCCACTTGAGAGAATTGGAAAAGCTCCACCTGGACCTCAGCAGCCTTGATCTGCAGCTCTTCGACGATGGGTCTCATCATGATGATGCGTCTCAGAGCCGGACAGTCCTTCTTGAGGTCCAACAAGACATTCGCCTGGAGCGTGACGAAGGAAATTATTATCTGAACGTTCGGACGAGCTCTATCGATCGAGAACTCCGCCAAGCGAGGGAGATTGCCAAAACTTACTCTGTCGACAGTATCGCAGATCGCCGTTTCGATATTAGCCTGCTCGACGATATAGCTGACCGACTGCAGGCCCATTGAATCGTACAGAGGAACAAGCACCATGCTAAAGTAATAGCAACCCATTTCGGCAATGATGCATTCCGGAGAATTCGTTGCGAAAATTCCGATATGCGTCGAGTTTCCGGGCGTGATGCCGATCGCTTGGAGGCCGCATGCGAAATTGCGGTTCCTATCGAGAACTTGATTATAATGTATCCAGGTGAACTCCGAGCTGCCGGGCTCTCTATAGCCGAGACATGGCCCGTTCTTCGAAACTCGGGCTCCCCGGAACATCACGTCGTGCAGGGTCCGAGCGTCGTCATACAGATGATCGAGCTTCTTATTCGGTGGGAGCAGGCGTGACATTCTGACGCGCTCGCCGACGCTGACGATCTCTCGCGATTGGTTGTCCATATTAACCACTGGGAGGACAGGCTTCTTATTGGAAAACATGTACTGGAGTGCGAGTCCCGCGACTCCTGTGGCCGCAATAGCGCCGTACGCTGCGTAAGGTCCCATGTCATTCTTCGCCACGGTCTGGTTCGCTGGAAAAAGAATATCATATCGCTCAGGCTGGGAAAGGAACACACTTGGGTGGCTCTGAATCCTCGGTGAGGGAGGAGCCCCGGAGACGGGATCACAATTCAGCGAATGATTCGGAATTCTCCGCTCGAGTAGCCTGATCTTTCCCGACCCATCCCTCAGTTCAGTGCTCCCCACATTTCTACTCTGTCGAGGCAGGGAGTTCGTCTGTGTTGATTTATGATCTCGAAATAACCGCTCCGTTAATTCCGTCTCCTTGCGGAATCAGAATGGAGATGGACCTCTTGAGGACGTCGAGTGGCGATCGCAGCAAATGAGCGACCGAAGCGGACGTTGGAATCGACTTCCCGCAGATGAATATGACCACCCGCACTTTTTGCTTGAATAGGCGCCAATTATCGCGCATATTCGGACGGGAAAAGGTCGGCTTCTTGCGGAATAGATGAGGAAGAGCGAATATATCATCCAGGACAGATGAGAATTGACCGACTGGTCGTTTGAAAAAGAACCTGGACGAGAGCCGAGAGGAAACGCTAAGATGGAGGAGCGGCCCCGTAGGGTATTCTTCAGCGCGCATATGTATATTTGATCAGTTCCGTCCGACTGCCAGCCCATCCGATCACAGTCTGTTGCTCAGCTGCCGACTCCTTGAGCGCGATCGTCGATATTCAGATATTTGCGCAGAGAAATCT